CCCCAAAACCCCAAAACCCCAAAACCCCAAAACCCCTAAGATCAAGTCAAGATGGAATGTATATTATTTAACAATAGAAGGCCGTTTGAACTTCTTAGTTTCATGTTTAAGGAAACCTATACGTGGACTCTTTTTCCTATCAGTCTTCGTTTTTGCTCTATTTCCTAAGCAGTCAAAAGGATATTTACTCTTTGGCTTATTTACATGAGTGGATTTAAAATCAGTCCCAACAAGTTTGGACCCAAACTGCTTAACTAGTTTAGAAGATACATTCTTTCTGACCCGAGGAGGTTTTTCTAAACTATAATAATCTTAGAATACTATTTTGCTGCTTAGAAGTGGGACTCTTCATACTTTGTGTTGCTTTAAAGTTATGCATAGAGCCATCTAAGATGGAATTCCTTAACTTCCTCTTCTTTTTCTCATTATTTTGTACTAAAATCAGCCTTGTAAGCTTACATTGGGGTAGTGTTCTATTGATACTAAAGAAGGAATCAAACTCTCTTTGCTTCTGAAGGAGAATATGAGATTCTGTAGTCCTTCTAGTTTTAGTATTCAGGTTGAAATTCATATTTTCTTGGTCATAATCTTCAATAATTCCTATCTCAACTTCTGTTGTTTCAGACTGGGATTCAAATGGCATTGACTCTTCCTCAGTTTGAGGATTGTTTAAGACGACATCTGCTAAGGAATTTATTATGGACTCAGCACTCTCTTCCCTAATGAAATATTCATAACTCTTTCTGGGAGACCTCTCGTTAATGCTTACACGAGAGTAAGAATTACTAAAGAGGTGAGATTCAATAGATGTGAGTCTTGCTTTTAACTCTTCCTTGTAAATTCTACGGATATTTGTGTTCTCACCGAGTTTTGGTCGATCTAAATTTGAAGGATTTGGATACTTGTGAGGATCTGAGTCACCTTTGCAAGACTGACATATTGCCATCTGATTTGGTCACAGAGCTGTCTGATTTGGTCGTTGAGACAATCCTGGTCAAGATTTGGCTTTTTTGTCTGGAAATCATACCATCTATGAATATTTATTGATGAAATTACTGCACAAAGGTTTCAAATACATGATCTTCAGTAACCACATCCAGATCATCTGATTTGAAGAGAAGTAGCAATGTCTGAAAATCAAGGAGTTCAGCAAAATTTTCATTTTGATAATATGTGCTAAAATCTGAGGAAATAGCTGTCACTCAGGCTGCATATGTATATTTGATAGACATATGAAGATGTATCTTAAATTTAAGTTGTTCCTTTAACTCATATTTCTGGTTAAACAAAACACAATTATCTTTCATATATGGAGAAAGTGATATCAAATTTGACTTAGAATTAGCCTCATCATCATTAATAACAACCTTATACTGAAATGATATGTACCCCTTCGCTGATGGTAGAAAAGAAGTCTCAGACTTGAGCATGTCACAAGTTTGTTCCTGCTCAATATGTCTGATTCATATCTGCAAAGATCCTTTAATGTACCAAACTGAGAGAGTCCAGGTCTTCTCATTGAATAAGAAGGGATCGCTCTCTTTGAGGCAGTTCTCAGTCAGCCCTCAGACTTCCCATGTGAGTATAGGTTTGCCATTATTCTCTGCTTTATCAAGAATAGTCTTCCTTTCATGATGAAGAAGTTCTGGAATATTTGCTTTGTCTTTTACTGAACAAATAAACTTCAGAATCTGATGATCAGGGACTGAATTAGAATTTCGATGCACTCTTTCACAGATTTCATCTAAGATTGCTTTTGGAACCTGCATCTGAGAATTCTGTTTATTTTAAGATTGACATTGGGTTATTTTTAGACATATAGTCCAAGGATTTATCTAGGAGAGAGTACCAAGCATCCTCTTCTTTCTCTCTGTTTATTATAATCGAGTTTGTAGGTGTTTCCTCAAACAGCTGAGAGAGATTACTAGCATCAGTAATACAGTTCTTCCCAATGCTTTTAAGCTTTGCATAGGCTTCGTTAATGAACTGGATGACATTTCCAGGCTCAAGCTGAGGAATTATGAATGTTTCGATCATAATAAATACTAATTCACTGATTTTAAAATAGTCTCAGAGCCAGATTACTTTCAGAGACTCTATAGGTTCTATTTCTTTAGGGAGAAGGTCTTCACTAACGAATTTAACTAGAACTCTGATGGCTAACAAAGAAGCCCAATTAGGCAAGATCAGCCTGATTTTTTCTTCCTTTATATCTTCTAAAGAGATGAGATTTGTAAGTAATCTTACTCAGAGTTTTTCTGAAATATACAGAATGTTTATTTAAGCTTAACTGCAGAGCATTGAATGGAGGTCTGTTTGAGGATGAAATAAACTTCTTGCTTAGTTTCTCTGTATAAATTAGTCCAAATTATTACTGTTTCATATCTTTAGAGCTATACCTGCCCAATTCTATATGAAGTTTATTATCTTCCATATTTAAATTTCAATTTTTTGTGGTAATTTCGGGGTTTTGGGGTTTTGGGGTTTTGGGGTTTTGGGG